AAGGATAAAATTATCTCTGAAAGGGAAAAGGGGAGAAATGTGGCTAAATTTGAGCCTTATCTCTCCTTCCATTTGATACTGGCAAAGTGAACCATAAAATCATAGCCAAGACCAGGTCCTGCCCTTGGGTACAAACACTGCTCCTCCTAGTCGGTAATGGATGGGACTTGAGGGGCACTTGTAGGAGAACCAGCCTCTCTCACTTGATGGGGCCTGATACGGGTCCAGCAAAGAACGGTGTGGACATTGAAGTGGACCTCATACCATCCACGCCTCCCTCCCAATGCAAGGAAGCAGTGCCCTCAGGGAGCGTGGCCCAGTCCCAGGGGGTAATTCCTGGATTGGGTTAAGGCTTAGCCAATCACAGAAATCTTACCTCCTTTGTCAGTGGTTGATTTTAGGGACAAACAGGTTTAAATGACTCTGAATCAGCCAATGAGATATGAGAAGTTTGATGGGGCTGCAGAGAGAGGCTTGTTTTTAAATCTTTATTTATTTATGTATATATATGTGTATAAAATTTTATTGATTTCAAGGAGGAAAGGAGAGGGAAAGAGAAACAGCAATGAATAGAGAGAATCACTGATTGGCTGCCTCCTTCACGCCCCCTACTGGGGATCGAGCCTGAAACTCGGGCATGTGCCCTGACGGGGAATGGAACCATGACCTCCTGGTTCATAGGTTGACGCTTAACCACTGAACCACACTAGCTGGGAGAGGCTTGATTGTAACAGCTGTGGAGAGCCAGCCTTTCTCCACTTCTGAACATGAACAAGGAAGACTTGCTACTGGTGACCATCCTCGACTAAGGGGCACCTGATTCAGGACACGCGACCAGCAGAGCAGAGGGACGAAAAGAACCGGGGTCCCTGCTGACACGGTTGATTCACTGCATCCGAGAACCCTGAGTCCTGCCTGCCCCCTGTCCCCGCTGCTGGTCAAGGTCCCTATTGTTGAAAGCACTGGAGTGAGCTTCCTGCTACTCCCGGTGGAAACATCCTGACAGAGACAGTAGAATCAGGGCGCTCCTGTCCCCTTATTTGCCTTTTCCTGTCTGAGGGCACAAGACAAGCTCATTGTGGTTCGGTTCTGAGCATGTTTATTTGCTGAGGGCACTTAACAAGTGTCAAATAAAACGCCTATACTTCATGAGTACTCTTCTTGCAACAAGAACAGTGGGGCTGGAAACTCGGGTCTGTTTGGTGACACGGTACTTTTAGCTGCACTATCATTTAGCCCATTAATTCTTGGACCCCAAGAGTCTGCCTTGAAGAAGGTAAGTTAGGGCTGCGCTTCCATGAATTTGGACAAAGAGCCCGGGGCGCCTCAGCCCTGCTCTTCTGTACTGCGCGGCAGAGGGAAAAACCTGAGGGCCTTCCTCATGCTCCTCTGACTCCCCATGAAGCTGTTTTTCCTGAGGTCCGGAGGCAGATGGAATAGGGCCGAATGATTCTTTAAAAACAACTCCTTTTTCTCCTGGCACTTGAGCACGCGCACACACAGAAATTTTCTAACTATGTGTACTGAGACAGGTTAACTAGACTTACTTCGGTGACCACTATGCAATATACAAGTAACCATCATTAGGTTGTCCACCTGAAACTAATATGTTATGGGCCAATTATACCTTAAAAAATCAAGATAAACTCTGAAAACAAGACACCCTCCTCCCTTCCTTGACTGTCCCGGGCTTCCCGGTTCCCCCTGCTGGTCTGTAGTGCAATTGCTTTCACGTATAAATGAGACTGGAGCATGCCTCACATGGATGTAGTTGTAGATGAAATTATGCACCTGAGATTCGCTTTCAAAGATCCCAGAAAAATGAGGGTGTGGATGCAGCGAGATTGGCAGAGCGTTACGATGGAAGCTGGTGAGGGTTCCAGAGGGGCTCCTTTTACTATTACCACTAGTTTCGCTCATGCTCTAGTTTTTGCTTAATTTTTGAAAATGTCATTTTTTGCACGTTCCCCATCTGTCTGGACGCCTTGAGTTGCTCCCCCTGCAGCGGCCTCGGGTCTGGTTTCCTGTCCTGCAGGGTCTGGGCGTGCTCGTTTCTAGGAAACTGTCAAGACTGGTCCTGGGGAGTCCCTTGCTGATGCTAAAACTGGGCGTTTTTCCTCCCCACCTGGCTGTGGGCAACTTGTGCTCCCTGGGCACTTCACGCCATGACAAGGATCCGAGATGGACGTCCAGGTCCCGCAGAAGGGAAGGGGCAGGTGGCAGCTCAGAGCGGTGAGAACCAGTGGGAGCGCCAACCCACCATCGGGTCGACATCATATCAGAGCTGGAAGGGGCCGCCGAGGTCAGTGCCTTATTCTAGAGCTGCGGTTCTCAACCTGTGGGTCTCGACCCCTTTGGCGGTCGAAAGACCCTTTCACAGGGGTCGCCTAAGACCACCCTGCATATCAGATATTTACATGACGATTCATAACAGTAGTAACATTACAGCTATGAAGTAGCAACACAAATAATTTTATGGTTGGGTCACAACATGAGGAACTGTAAAGGGCCAGAAGGTTGAGAACCACTGATCTAGAGAAAGGGACAGTGACAAGCGACTCCCTCTGCCAGCAGCTGGCCGACATGCCTGGCGCTGAGACCACCCCCAGGCAGAGAAGCGCCTTCGGCTCGCAGGCACCATTCCTGCATGCCGGCCTCATGGGGCTAGCATGGGCATCTGGGCGCCTTTTCCTTTATTCATTCATTCATTCATTCATTCATTCATTCATTCATTCTGTGTGTGAACTACAGTTTATACCACCTCCTCCCTCTGGGCTTTGGCTGCCCAGTTCCAAGGCATTGCTCACACTGGGCAAGTTCAACTGGGTCCGTCTGGGTGGACTGAACCCATCAGCCATCGCCACCAGACTATCATACTCTTAAACGTTTTATCTACTTGTACTCATCCACTTCGGGTGGATGAAATTGTCAAGATTTGGCTAAAACATTCCTTGAAAAATGATACATTATGTAAGGTGTGGTGATCAAGAGCACAGGCTCAGAGACAAACTGCTCCTTCAGGCCTGTTTCCCATTGACCCCAGTCACCTAACTGCCGTTCCTGAAACCAGGCCTCAGTAGCACACGCCCAGCACACAGCAAGGGCTCGGTAAGTGCCAACAGCACCCGTTCAGCGAGGTACAGCTTTCAGAGCTGGCCCTGTCCACGCATCCTCACGTTGGGGTGGGAGCTGCAAGGCACGTTTTAGAGCAAGAGGCCTTCGGAGGATGGCAAAGGAACGGATGTCCTGTGGCACCCAGAAGAAGTGTTAAAGGAGCCCATTTCACAAGACGGTGACCTCTAGCTCCCAGAGAAGGGACTCGGAGGCTGGGGTGGAAGAGAGCAGCCCTGGCCTTGGGGGTGCTTTCTCCTACCCAGTGGTGAGGTCCTCAAATGGGAAAAACAAGCCACCTCTGATGCCAGGAGATGAGCCTACATATCCCTTTGGTTCAGTCTCTGCACCTGATCACCAAGGAGAACCCACTCCTCCTCCTCCTTTTTGTTTTGTTTCCATAATGTGGCTTTATTATTTTGTTAGAAGCATCATTTACCCCCAAATAGTTAACAGTGCAAATGCACAAAATGCAGCTCCAGCCGAGCACGCTCCTTTATGTTACCTACAGCACCCCTTCTCTTCATCTCCTTGGCGAAGGAGACTGGCCTAGGCTTTTGACATTGAACCTTGATTGCCGGGGGATGCTCAGTTCTGGAGGTTGGAAATCTGAGATGAAGGCCGGTGTGGTCGGGTCGGTGGGGGTTGCAGACTGCTGGGTATATCCTCCCATGGCGGAAGGGCCCCGCTCCTCTTCTCTAGAAGGTTTGCTGCTCCCGGTTCCCGGTTGTCCACTCAACTGGTAAACAACAGAAAAAAAATATCTCCATGTTCAACTGAGTGAAGCTGATGAAGCGGCCTGGAAAGGACTTACCGCAAGTTTGTTTGCAGCGTTTACGTGATGCCACTCGAGGGGGAAAGGATCACGACGCAACATCACCAGCATCGAACAAACAAAACACCAGCTTCCCACACTGCCCAGACTCTCACTTTACAAAAGCAAATTATGAGAAAGACCTGCTGCAGGATCAACAATGCACATTTTCTTCTTCCTCCTTGGAGGTCACAATAGTTGATATTTATTCCCCTGCGAAGCTCATTGTTCTAATGTCCATTATCCAAAGAGGAAGTTCTGTCCTTGAAGACACCCAGAACTGTGCTATTATGCTGTGGCATTAGCAGCATCCTTGATCTTGGGGGGAAAAGTCAAGCAGCTCGTTCAATGTACAAAGTTGTTGATCCACGAATAGTACAACAAAGGGCCATTTCACCATGGCCAGCTCTCCAGGGAGGGTCCCCCAGGCCTTCCCAGTGGGGCCTGAGGTCAATATACTCATAGCTGCCTGGCCGGCATGGCCCAGTGGTTGAGCATCAACCTATGAACCAGGAGGTCATGGTTGGATTCCCGGTCAGGGCACATGCCCGGCTTGTGGGCTCAATTCCCAGTGTGGGGTGTGCAGGAGGCAGCCAATCAATGATTCTCTCTTATCATTGATGTTTCTCTCTCTCCCTCTCCCTTCCTCTCTGAAATCAATTTAAAAACAAATACACACACACACACACACACACACACAAATAGCTGAGTAGGGTATACGCACTTCTAGGTAGCAAGGCAACAGAGTATGAGAGAAATTTCTAGCATTGGAATTTTTCTGCAGCTCCCACAATATTTCGGGTGAACTAACTAGTTTTCCAGGAGAAGACATCAAAGTTACATTCTGACAGCTTCCGCTGCTTTTAGATTGCTATTTTTCAGTTTTGCTCCAACTCTTAGGTTCCACAAAGCTGAGGAGGGAGAAGAATGACCCCATTTCTATGACCTGAGATTCTAACTTTGCATTCATTCAGCAGATAGAGAGAAAACTACTGGGTGCCAGGCTTTGCAACCCTTCCCGCCTTCAAGAAGTTGACCTGTTGGCGTTAGTAATAATGTCAGGAGCTGTAGGATGTACATTTATTTGCTGGCTTTATTTAACCTTTTCCTTTGTGAACTGTGGGTACAGATTTGACTATGCAGTTGCACGGTTATAAGTACCTTTTTCTTCTGCAGTTATAAATCCTTCATCTAGAGTGGTGTAGGTATGAAGAATAAATTGCAAAAGCTAGATTACTGGTATTCTATTTTCACTGGAAATGTAACTTTAGTCCTGTTTCTATCATAGAATGATTTTCACAAACCACAACACTATTCTATAAAAAACTATTTCTGGCCTTTTTGCTTTACCAATTGATAAAATGTCCACTAAATCTTTATCAGTATCAAATCATATAGCAAGCTTGTATTTTTAACATAGAGCTATGACTTTATTACTTGGGAGTTCTGCCTTGAGAAAAGTCCACACAAAGGGCCCTAGCCGGTTTGGCTCAGTGGATAGAGCGTCAGCCTGCGGACTGAAGGGTCCCAAGTTCGATTCCGGTCGAGGGCATGTACCTTGGTTGCGGGCACAGTAGGGGGTGTGCAGGAGGCGGCTGATCGATGTTTCTCTCTCATTGATGTTTCTAACTCCCTATGCTTCTCCCTTCCTCTCTGTAAAAAATCAATAAAATTATTTTTTTAAAAAACACAAATAAAGTCCACACAAATGGACAAGAGAAAAATGTACAGATTCACAAAAGGCAGATTCACCGTGGCTGCAACGAAACAGCAGGCTCTTCAGACCCTCAGCGCAGGCGGGGCTGATGGCTTCTACACCCCTCACCAGCGCCCCAACCCTGCGCTGAAACTCTGGCCACACAGCGGGGCGTTTCTCATGTGTTTAAGGTCTCCGTTTGTCTTTTGCTTATTAAGCTATCCATAAAGCTTAGAGCACTGACACTTAACCGCATTCTTGAATAAGACACTGCATTAGCATGATGTCATCTCCGAAAGGGTGGCCAGGGTTCGGGCTGTGCTAGGAGAATGCGTAAGACACCTGATGCAGAGGCTCTCCACCACCGGGGGGCATTGGAGAAACCTGCCTGCCTTTGCAAACACGCCAGGGCTTGGACCCCACTCCCTGCCTCCAGAGGCGGAGCTCCAGGCAGGTGTATCTTGGCGAAGCCTAACCAGCCATTCTGTGGGCCCGAGGTTTCCGCCAGGCACATTCCCAGCCTGCCTGTGCACAGCTGGAGATGGCTGCTCCGTGCTGCTTTTTGCAAGATGGCTGTTTGAAGAGTGACTTCTTCGGCCCAGAATTAGGCATCCACAAATGTTCGTTCCTTCATAACTAACGTGAGGCCTTTAAATGCACCTGGCTCTTCAGACTTTGCTTCTCTAGTATGAGAAAGCCAGATGCCCTTTTTGCCTTCTGATTTATAGTTAATTTGATTAAACCGTCTTCTGGGTAGAGTGCTGCTAATCTCTTGTTTTAAAGATAAAAGGATTTGCACATTCAAAACAAAAAAGATGGTAATAGTGAAAACATTCACCTTTGCAACTTCTGGTAAAAAGAAAAAAAATAAACCTGATTTTAATTTACTACTGATTTTTACCAAACTTTCAAGTTTCAATGTATGAAAGAGAATCATAATTCCTTCCCCCAGCTGCTCTCTCTGGCTCAAATCAATTAAACTGCTGCCACCCAGACAGTTTCAGATTCCCCCAGGGGAGGCGCGCAACTTCACGCTGTGGTAGTTCTTGAGTTAGTGGCGGCCGTGTTTCTCTGCAGAGGTGCCAGGATGACCCCGACGTTCCTCTCCTCGCTCTCGGCGCTGTACAAATTATGCTTCTCGATGTACTCTTGGACGAGATCTGGTACCAAGTAGCGAATGCTCTGGCTCCTTCGGAGGGCTCGCCGGATCTTCGTGGACGAGATGTCGTTGGTGATCCATTCGTTCACCAGGTGAATGTTGGCCTGGTGTCTCCACAGCACATCCGATTCGTAGATGAATCTCTGAGCATCGTTTCCAGCCCGGGTGATGCAGACGAGCCCGTAGTCCCCCACGATGTTGGCGATGTCTTCGTGCTTCCACAGGTTGGGGACACCGAAGGACTCCAGCAGATCTGCCCCGCACAGCAGCTTGACCTTGGGCACGTCTGGGACAAAGAAGAAAACACTGCGTCAGGGTTTGCTATGTAATAACTCCCTGCATTAAAATGAGGGTGTGGGCGTGTTTTTCTGAAAAGAAGGCTCCGCTTTTTCCGATTCAGATTCTCAAAAGAGACCTAGGACAGCTGAGAAGCTAAGGACTGCAGGGGAAGGAGCTCAGGATGCCTCGCACCCCCCCTCCCTCCCTCAGCAAACCTACGAGGGCATTTTCCAGGCACCCCATGTACTGAATAGAAAATGGAACTAGATCTGGCAGGCGTGGCTCAGTGGTTGAGCATCGACCTGTGAACCAGGAGGTCAAGATTTGATTCCCAGTCAGGGCACATGTCCCTGTTGTGGGCTTGATCCTCAGTGAGGGGCATGCAGGAGTCAGCTGACCAATGATTCTCTCTCATCATTGATGTTTCTATCTCCCTCTCCCTTCCTCTGTGAAATCAATAAAAATATATTTTAAAAAAGAAGATGGAAATAGAAAGGGGGCTTGCTCAGCTCTAGAACCTTATCTGCTCCAATTGGCAAGTCCTGAGAAAACATGCAGACCTTTTCTTTGTGGCTCTGGGGTCTTCTTCTGACTCAATTCTGATCTTTGTTCAGCCCACTTCCTCTTCCGGCCAGGCCTCTCCAGCACAGGGGAGTCCTGCTGCTCACAGCCTCTAGCCTCCAGCTTCTCCTGGTGGTGTCTATAAAACAACAAAGCAACAGAACAGTCCTCTTCCTCACAGAGCTCAACCAAACATTGTCCCTCGCAGATGCTCACTAACCCTCCTTGCCAGCCTGGTTGTAGGCAGCCATCTTGTGAGGGCGTGAGGGTTAATTTGCATATTATCTCTTTATTATATAGGATAACATTAAGTAATAACTAGATGTCACTCACTCTGGTTTCTGAACCCTTACCTGGAACTGTCTCAAAGGTGTAAGACAGGTGTGTGACAAGCCCGTATGCTGTCACGGAAGCAGCGCACAGACAAGTCTATCCATGACCCAGCATCACGGCTTCCCATCCTGAATACCTGCCTCTCAGAAGACGGATGGCAATGACATCATCTTACAACTCTGCCTTTCTCGCTCGGGCACGGCCAGGCCGGCAGGCTTCCCTGCACATTCGCTAACAGAGCTTTGCACAGTAACCATCATGCAAACATCTCAACACACAATGCAAGGCACAGGCTCGGGAACACGCTGCCTGCTTCTGCGCTCCACGCTGTGCAACGACCTCACACGGGAACCACACACCTCAGCCCTTCCAGCCCTAGGGACCGCGCTGTAAACCTGTAGCTCAGACACCGGCAGCACGAAAACGTGGCCCAACCCAAGAAAGGCGCCGACCCGTTCCCGGGAGCCCACAGAGCTGACTTCCCCACAGGTACCTTAGCACCTTCGCAGTCTCTACCCACTCCTTCTGCAGACTCTCCCAGGTGTCCACCTCCACCCAGCTGGAAGTCTGGGTGGCAAGTTGTGCCATGATCACTCGGTGATGGGCAGAGATGAGACCTTTCTTCTTGTAGGCGTCGCCAACGGGAGAAATGATGCCTTTGATAACCCTGTATTTCCCTGGGTAGAGAGTTAGGTTTGACATGAGGTATAACAAATTAGACTTTATGCACAGGAAATAGTTCAATCGATATGATTTTAATCAAATATTCCCTTTCTATATTTTACACAGGGATTCAGGTTCACTCATTCATTCATAATTGTGGTAAAATAGACAACACATAGAACTGCTTTGGAAAATGCCTTAATCATGTTGTATTGTCCACCTACAGTAAAAAAAGAGCCCCAATCTCCCCAACCTCTGATAGTTGACACTGTGAAGTTTAAAAATGTTTGTTCGTGTGGTGGGAAAACTGTGTCTCGTTTTTAATTTTAGTTTCCTGTTTATCAGTGAGTATGAGCACCCATCCTCCTATCGATCAGCATAGAGCATGAGTTTGTGTAACAAAAGAAATCTTGTCTATGGAGGGAAGGAAAAAGTTTTCCTTGACCCTCTTCGGGTCGGTCCCTGGCTGGGTCTGAACATGAAACTGAGAAAGATAAACGAATAGGAGGAGAGCCCACATTTGTTTAATGTAAGGTTACAGACACCGGAACCTTCATAAGGAAATGAAGACCCCAGGAAACCGGGGAGCCTGAGTGTTTCACGCTGGGTTTGAAGAGCAGACAGCAGTGGAGAAACAGGAAGGGGCAAAGCACACCAGGCGAGTGTAGTCAGTCCGGGGAAACTAACGAAGGCTCCTTCATTCAGACTCTTCCTGGCATCCCTTTGTTTTCAGAGCTAAGGATGCGCCTTTCCTCTGGGGATGGGGGGTGCCTCTCACATGGGGTTCTGTGACCTGCTTCAGAGGAGAAGGGTGGGGAGGAGGGCCGAGTGACCTTCCTGATTCTGCAGATTTCTCAAACTCCTTCGGCTCAAAATACCCAATATGCCGCGGGGCCGTATTTGGGGGTAGTGTTCTGAACCCCACCGTTGCGTTTGTTACTGTTCCTACCTGTTGCGTTCATGTGGTCCTTGGCCAGCTCAAACAACCGGAGGTGCATGTTGGTGACTGGGTTAAAGGAGCCACAGGCAAGGAGAACCACTTCTGTCTTCTGGGGATTTTCCATGCTAGGACCCTGAAGGTGTCGATCCGAGTGGCACACTCTGGCACCTCCCGGGTTGTCTACAAAGGAAAAGCAACACCAGTTACAGGCCTTTTGACCCCCTTCTGTGTTCTCATTCCCAATAGATGGATTAGAATACTTGGCTTCGATGACTGCGCTCCATGAATTGTAAACAGTGGCCCCATTTCTCCACCCTCCTTTTCAGCGTGAACTTACAGCTCCTACCACAAAGGATGGGGAGCTCCTTCCCACTCTGTGTCACTTGCTTTGCCCAAAAGGATGTGGCAGATGTGACAGTCTGCCAGGTGGGGCTTTGCACACTCTTACTTTCTCTCGGATTCCTGCCTCTGCCACCAGACAGGCCCCAGCCAGCCTGAGGGAGGGTGACGAGCATGCAGAGAGCGCGGTGCTCCTGCTGACAGATGGCCTGCCATGAGTTATGTGGCCGAGGCCATCGGGACGGGCCAAACAGCGACCAGCGCAACACGAGAGCCAGCCCAGGTGGGATCGGCTGAGCCTGGCCCAGATCAGCAAACCCACAGCTGACCCAGGCTCACGAGCAAAAACGAATGTCCACTGCTGCACGCTGCTGCGGTTTGTGATTGCACGGCTGTGGCCACAGTTAACGGACACAGTGACACCATCATCTTCAGGGTAACTCCCCAGCAACCTGCCCTTCAAACCAGTGTTCTGCCTCTAAGTCAACATGATCACGTCACTTTCCACTGAGTAACAGCTTACCCTTCACAAACCTTTTTCATTCAAATTATTTGATCTTTCCATAAACCTACTGAAGAAATGCGAGACGTGATCTAAAGCTTTTATTAAAAACTTCTGTTAAATGAATATAGATTGAGACATCTCAGGGTGACAGCCATCGGCCATATCCCGCTCACCAACCCCTTCATCCAACTCCCAAAAGCAATCTCAGTCAACTTTTTCAGCTATTTCTTTTGGCAGATCCTAGTCTTTGTTGAAAATCACCTTCTCCCAGAATTCTGAAGGCACTACTTCGAGAGTTCAGTGCTAACGGTGAAAAATCCAAAGTCAGTTGTTTTTTTTAATTCTCCCCTGGAGGATATTTTTTCCACCGATTTTCAGAGTGGAAGGAGGGAGAGAAACATCGATGTGAGAGAGACACATCGATTGGTTGCCTCCTACACGCCCCGACAGGGGGCAGGGATCGAACCTGCAACCCAGGTATGTGCCCTTCCCTGGTGCACTGGCTGACGCTCTAACCACTGAGCCCCGCCGGCCGGGCCGAAGTCACTTTCCATTCTGGATCCTTTAAGTGTGACGTTTATTTTCTCCCTTGAATCCCGTGAGACCTGCCCTTTGCCCAGTGCTCTGAAATCTCAGTGAGGCCCTGTGGTGCAGCTCTACCCTCCCCTGTGCCGGACACTGAGCAGGCCCTTTCTAGCTCGAAGGCATCACCTTCAGTTCTGAAAACTGAACTGAACTGTTTTGCACGTGGTCTGCGCATGGTCTTCTGCCTCCCGTGGGGAATGCCTGTTATTTAGAGCTCAGGGGTTGGGTTCAGCCAAGCTAGGTGTCAATTCCAGCCCCACCCATCTCAGGTTTCAGGTACCTTCCCCCAGGGAGACTGAGCTGGAGCTGGAAGAACAGGACGCTGAGGTCAGGAGGGACTGGTGCCCAGGGGAGCCGCCTGCTGCACAGGGACGGATGGAACAAAGAGCTCGAAGCCCCCCTTGGCCTTGGGGATGCGCTCAGGTTCCAGGGACTCCCAGGGGAAGGGCTAGGGAAGGTGATCTCTCAGCTTAAAGAAAGCTTTCTCCCTTGTCAGTCAGGACCTGCCTCAGATGTCTCGTTCAGTCCTATTGATCCACCGTGAACACCACCAACCTGAGGTGACGCTCAAAGCCAAGGAGACTTAAGTTACAGTGAGCTCCAACCACAGCCCAGGGCGGCTTAAAAACAAAAGGACCTGCCCCTCTCGGGAGAAGACTGCCCTTTGGCCCGCGGCACCTGTGCAGGGAAGGGGCGGGCAGGGGCCGCTGGGAGAGGTGGTTTGGGAGCTCTAACAGGCCTGTCTGGGCTCCGCCTTGCCTTGCTCCAGGTGCTCGAGGACAGGTGTCGCCATGATCCACTTCCGTCTGGCCCACTCGGCCTACCAGGTGCACTGCCGGCGGCCCAGGTCTCACCAGCTCAGGCGGTAAGTGTCCCTCCCAGCCCAGTGCGACGAACGTCATTTCTTCCTGAGGTGGTCCTGACGTGTCACGAACATGTACTTTCCATTTTCAAGTTCGATTTCACGGACCTTCTTAGGTTTTAAAAACACTGATGTGTAAACAGTAATGAAACATTTTCTAAACATGAAGCCAGTGTGTAGAACATTCATTTTTCCAGAAAGAACAGGAATTGTGTGGCTTTTGTCACATTTCAGGGCGCTGCATTCGCCGACTCAAATAATGGGGCTGACTTGACAACCTCTGGAATTTACACCTCTAAGAAGCTGTTCCTTTTAAAACATACCTTTAAGCATGTAACTGTATTCTAGTTCTAACAACAGGCCACTGCTTTCAATAACCTGGGGGTATAACAGGACCTTCAGTGGGGATAAATCTCTGAAGGGTAAATTTGATTTCTACAAACACCCTAAAGGCATTCAGTGCTAAACCCAATTAGTAAAGTAAATAATAAAAATGACTAAAAGAGTTTATGGTGAAGAGCTACAACTACTAGCTAATGACGAAGATTTTCTCATGCACAGAAACTACATACACGTAACCGTAAACGTTTCCAAAATGGCTGAGCAGTAACAGCAGACTTCACTTGGTGGTTAAGTTGTGGTCGGCAGGGTAGCCCTCAGTTTGTAAGTGATGCTCAGCGTGAACCATCTGGCTGGAGGCAGAGGTAGCACTACATAGGGGCCCAGTCAGGACTCTCAGATCTGGCTCACATTCTACCTCTACCTCCTACTACGAGGTGTTTGTCCTAAGCCACTTAATCTGAGTCTTGGTTTCCTCATCTATAAAATGGGGAACCACAGTCCCTACCTCATAGGACTTGTGCATATTAAGTGAGAAAATGCATGTAAAATGACACATTTGTCTACTGAGTATTAATAACTCATGCTATTACTTGTGGATTGCTTTGGCGCATTAATTTAGTCATGAAAAAGGAACCAAAGTTCTAAAGACTCCTTAGAAATCAGTATCAACAGTGCCTGTGACATAGTAGGAGCTGAATAATGGTAGCTACTTTTAATATCCTTCCTTTCTCCTTCCTTCCTTTCTTCCTTCTATCCTTCCTTCCTTCCTCCTTCCCTCCCTCCCTTCCTTTGTTAATCCTCCCCCACAGACATTTTCCCCATTGATTTTTAGAGAGAGTGGGAGAGGAGGGGGAGAGAGAGAGAAAGAGAGACATCGATGTGAGACACATTGATTGGTTGCCTCCTGCATGTGGGGTTGAATCTGCAACCCAGGAACATGCCCTTGACCAAGAATTGAACCCAAGACCCTTCTGTCTGTGTGCCGATGCTCTAATCACTGAGCAACACAGGGCAAGGCACTTTTAATATTCTTATTGGAGTATTCTTAGACATAATTTTGCTCTAACGGGATGGATCTCAATTCGTCTTTGCTATGTGTAAAACTCTGCCTCTGTGGTTTAATGCTACGTTATCCTGAAACAGAACCTGGCTTTGGTTTCTGGAAGCCAGTTCATCACGAAGCGGTTGTGTAAAGTGTAACTCACTGTGTCCCATGCAGCCGAGCAACCGTGTTCCTGTCTGCGATCGCCACTCTGGCTCTCCAGTTGTACGTTCTGCTCAGGTAAGTTCTTTCATCGGCCAAGCCCTCACCTGGCAGCCGGGCGGTCTGGGTCTCAGCTGTGGGGGCGGTTCGGGTGCGCTCTGCGATTCCTGGCACGTGTTTAATTGTAGTCTGCCCCATTGTGTTTGCCCGGATCATCGACGGGAGTCACCCACTTCACTTCTTGGAAAAGTCAACAATCTCAATACAGTGAGAATCACTGGCTTTGGGCAGACTGAGTTTAATTTCATAAGAAGAGACAATGGGGAACCAACGTCTCTATTTATTCCCCACAGAGCAGTCCCAATAGCCCTGCATTACTTGATGTCTGTAGGGCTGAGGGCGACACAGGCACACTCGACCAGATTATGCCTTGATTATGTTAGTTTAGATTCTACGTTGGAAATTAGTCTTGGCAGAAAAAAAAATCAGTTAACTTTCTTATTGGACAAATGAAACAAATGCAATTTGGCACATTCAAAATAAGAGAATTGCAGTTCTGAGAACACTGATATTCGACAAGTACCTGAAAACGGAGAACCCGCTTAAGGGATGGAGAAGGGACGGGAACTGTGACACTGTAACTGGCCGACTTCAAACCTGCCGGCTTCTATTATAGGATGTTTGTGTGCAGTAAAGCATATTCCCTTACTCTGAAAAGCTGGAATTTCCACCAAATATTTTTCTTGTTTTTCCTTTCTTTAAAAAAATATATTTTTATTGATTTCAGAATGGAAGGGAGAGGGAGAGGCAGAAACATCACTGATGAGAGATACATCATTGATCGGCTGCCTACTGCACGCCCCACACTGGGGATCCAGCCTGCAACCATGGCATCGAACCGTGACCTCCTGGTTCATAGGTCAATGCCCAACCTCTGAACCACACCGGTTGGGCTCCACAAAAATATTTCACCAAAATAGCAAATTCACATGAATTAGAAAAATGGCAAACTTTATTTGTCCACCAACTATGACTATTAATAACTCAATGCTACTGGTGGGCTGTCTGACAGCATTAATTTGAGCCATGCTAAAGGAACTAAGGTCCTTAAGAGAAGTGAGCTGCCTGGAGCCCAATGAACCTAGTGCCAGGTTAGGGTTAAAATCCCTTCTGGTGTCATGCTTATAGCTGATCTCTTCTGATCAGTAGTAAGTAATGTGTAACCCAGTGGATTGAATTTTAGGCCCAGCTCTTCTCGGGACTGCAGTCAACTTCTCAACAACTTGGCTGGTAACACCATCTTTACTTTCTTTGCAACTGGTGAGTGTGCAGTCACTCTGACCAGCACTTCAGTGTCTGCTAAATGGTAAGATGGGACTTCCTGTTTTCAGGAGCTCAAAGATTGAAATGTAAGAAAAAATTCACTTTAGCCCTGACCGGTTTGGCTCAGTGGGTAGAGCGTTGGCCTGCGGACTGAAAGGTCCCAGGTTCGATTCTGGTCAAGGGCATGTACCTTGGTTGCGGGCACATCCTCAGTAGGGGGTGTGCAGGAGGCAGCTGATCAATGTGTCTCTCTCATCGATGTTTCTAACTCTCTATCCCTCTCTCTTCCTCTCTGTAAAAAATCAATAAAATATATTTAAAAAAAAAAAAGAAAAGAAAAATTCACATTTAAAATCCAGATGAAGGGCATTTTTAAAACTTCTTTAGTCATGCTTTTAGTTATTCTGCGATTTCTCATTGGTGTTATAAAATTCTCTAGTTATATAAAAATAGCAGATTTATTCACTCATTCCATAAACAGTTACTGAGTAGGACATAATATGGGTAGAAAAACAGGGGCCTTGACAACTTGAACCCAAAAAGTGACACAGAAGAGATTTTTAAAAACTGATTTTAGAGAGGGAGTCAAGAAGAGACAGAAACAGCGACGTGAGGGAGATACATTGATCAGTTGCCTCTCGTACATGCCCCGACCAGGGAATGAATGGGCAAGCTAGGTCCTGCATGCCCCACACTGGGGATCCAGCCTGCCACAGAGTTCTCGACCTTCCGGGGCACGGGCCAACCTCCAACCAACTGAGACACACTGGCCAGGGCCAGAAGAGGTTTTTTAAAAATGAAAAAGTAGTTATTGAGTGCCATAGGCACAGTTTTGCTGGAAGGTTTAACTGAGATAATGAGGAAGTTATTCCCAAAATAGTCCCAGTTATTATCGCCCGCGTCGCCAGTAAGAGCAGGACCTGTCGAAGGAAACCCTTAGCTAGCTAGCTTTTGAGCATTTCTGCTCCACACGAGGGAAGCGAGGAAGCACATTCGATTTAGGTTTGCACTCGGGAGTGTATTTCTGAGATGCTGAAGCCGAGGACAGGGACGCTGTCCTGCCGTCCTTTTAGTTTCACTGTGCCGCTCACTCACCTGCACCCGGTCCCACGGGCTCCAAAGAGGATGTTTTCTGCATTCGGTGTGGGATCCTTCAGGGAAGGCGTCTGCACCAGGGTGTTACCAGTTTTGGCAACTCACTGCGTACGTTTGAAATACTGAATTTCTAAAGGCTCATCTTAATCTGAAAGCTTGGCTGTATACAATACACCATTAGTCTTTGATACTTATTCTCTATTTACACTAAAAACAGAGGTATGTGGAGGCAGAATTCCGAATTAGACACATGTCACAGTTACACATTTCACCAGGGAAAGTTAAAAAAATCCCACAAGAGTTTTTTGTATGTGTGTGTTTTGTGAGTTCCATTTTGCTAGAATTTTTTTTTTCAGTTAAGATATTAACCAACAGTGGAACCACTGGACTAGGTTTGGCACCTTAAGCAGCAAGCCTTCCATCTCTTGCTAAGTGAGTGCCTCTGTTTAAATCCTTGTGGCAAAAGCACATTAAACATCTGTTCCAATGAACAGACAAGTATTCCTCACAGTGCTTTTTCCCTCCCAAATATAGGAAAAAACGACTCCTGAACTTTACTCCTTGTCTGTGCTGCTGTCAATGAGCAGCTTGGTTTCTACAGGTGAGCAACAAACGTCCTCAAAACCCACCTTGGTCAAAGGCTTATCAGTCCCTCAGGGGAAGTAACTGCTCAGCTAGGACTGTCACACTGCAAAGGGAAGTCCAAGAAGCTAAGGCGTCTGAAAAGCAAGAGAAAAAGCAGAGAGGGTTAGAGGGGAGATAAAAAGCCACCCTTCTCCCGTTACTGCCACTCCACTGAATTAGATCCCATCCTTCATCCGCGGTGCTTTTCTCAGGCCTGGGGCTGCTCTGGCTGGCCAGTGTGGCGGTGCAAGACCAGGTGCTAAACCAGCAGTCTGAAGCCCGGCTGGCCCCCTGCCTCAGATACGTGTCACCAGCAGGGTGAGCCTGTCCCCACAGCACTGCACCTGCCACGGCCAGCAAGCACATCACCATCTCCTACCCTGCTCCTCCCGAGATGAAACGGTCAGCCGAACATCAGAGCTACGACAGGAAGCACATCAAAGCCACTCTTGAAGGAATGCTGTCTTTAAGCATTAATGAGCACTGACAATGGATAAAAAGGAAGAGTTCAACCCAAATCACAGGGCTGACAGCACAACCAAATTCATCCCAAATAAGGATCTCCTCTGAAATACTTTCAAGATCACTACTTTGACTTTCGGAACCTCCTTTTTTGTTTCAGGAAGTGATAGCAACAGTTGCATGGTTGCTAGAGAAATATGTACTGAAAAGGAAGAAGAAAACTATAAATCTTAGTAATGAACAAAGGTTTAGTTTCAAAAGAAGTGATTCAGATTGCATGTTTGAACAAGGTCAATTTATTGCTTCTTTAAAAATGCAGCGGGAAATTTGAGTAAAAAGAATTAAAAATAATCACAATCTCCTCCATATGGGTTATGACAATCTTTTGCATCGTGACAGTCAATTACTACCTAGAAAACAGCCAAGTGACCCACATGGTATTTCGTCTTTTTACTTTTTCTGTGTAGTCACAGATTCTAAGGCAGTTTAAGTAGGACCTAGCTACCCATAGGTCTTCTGAATGTCTTTAGGAAGTGGAGACGCCTCTATTTCCTGAGGAAAAGACCAGTGTCCATTGGCAGGAGGGACAGATTCGATGTAAATATCTCCCAAACACATCGGTGACAGGCACAGACCTTCACAGTAGAAATAACTGTTTCCATCTGCTTCTCTGTTCAGGTGGGACTTGCTGGAGGGGAAGTTACTGAAACACATTCACTATCCACAACACTGGCATTTTCTAGCACCTTCCGTATCCCAGACATATTGTGAAAACTTAGTGATTAGAAACCTGAGTAATTCATACATCAATGAAATCGCCATGGCCAGTTTGGCTCAGTGGGCAGAGCACCGGCCCGCGGACTGAAGGGTCCTGGGTTCGATTACGGTCAAGGGTGGCTCATGGTACTTCTTGTTAGTCACTCAAGTTTCCTCTGCCCCGCATTTTCCCTACCTCGTTGGAGCAACTTGCACACTGTAGGCTCCCATCTCGAGTCCAAGTTGAAGTGTTCTAAACTCCTGCAGCCATCAAGCAGTATTTGCAGGCGTTACCTCATTTTATGGTGCTTCATTTCATTTCGCTTCACAGGTGTTGCTTTTGCTTTATTTTACAAATTGAAGGCAAACCCCCCCACGAGGAGAAAGATGATGACTCACTTTATTGCGGCGGTCCGGAACTGAACAGCAATCTCTCTGAAATGTGTCTGTATCTGGTTTCCCAGTTATGACTCTCAGTTCTGAAGTTGTTTTCTCCAACGCTCTCTCCCATGACTACTTACCTGATATATAGTTTTACAATTTCTTCTCCCCCCACTCCCAGGGCTTGGGTTCTATTTTTGTTTGAGGACTGGAACCCAAACCAATTTCTCTTACTTATGCACAAGGAATACTTTTTCATTCTCCATTCACTATAAACAAGAAGCCAAAGGTACAGAACCACTAGATCAGGTTAAGTCACTAATAAAGAAGAGCAGGCAAATAGAATGCTTGTAGGGTGAGCACTTTCCTCCATGGCTTCAAGACTGCACACACCAAAACCAACACAAATGCCTGAATAGAATACTTGTATTACCAACAGGAAAATTAGAGGAAGTACACAAGAGCAAATGTTTATTCAGCAAGTTCTTCAAGTGGTGAAATAAAATGTATCTTCCAGCTTTGTTTTGTTTCGCACTGACCTTATTTGTACTGAAAGTTCCATGTTGCTTAAAATGTTGACACTTCCATACATATCCACATGCCAGAAATGAGAGATAGTTACATTAACATAACCATCACACACTTTTACAAAGGACATTCTGTGAGCCTGAAGTGTTTTTGCAAGGTAAGCTACTGAACCATTCCAACTTGTGTGTCAAAGTCTTTATTTTAGCCCACATTTTCCCCATTACAGTTGACATAGTGGTTAGGGATTTAAGTAACTTACGAAGTGATCCCCCCGAATAAGTCCAGTAACCACCTGGCACCACACATAGTTATTGCAATATTATTGACTATATTCCCTATGCTGTACTTTACATCCCCATCAACAGTCTTTTCTAACACCCAAATTATAACTCTGAAATACACCTTATGGCAAGAAGTACGGAATTCCACCATCAGGCAGAACTGGCAGAAATAATTCATTTTGGTAGAGTTCTCCGGTAATATCAGTTGGAAGTTTACCCTGGGCGCCTGAAAAAGAAGTAGCTTTAAAGGTAACACCTTTGACGTATTTGCCAGAAACCCTACGGATTCCAGGAGATGGGCTGGAAAATAGCAGAAAATGGTTCCCACCTAATTTCTCAGTAATTTTTTAAGTGCTGCCCCAAGCTCACTAGTCTCCTTCTCGAGGGGCGTGAGTGTCAAACCGCACCCAGGAAGCGGGGCCTAGTATTTTCTTGATTTGGAAAAGATTTGGGAGGAAAGAGAAGTCGTTCAGAATGGACTTCCTGCTCTGCCTCCCACCACCTCCGCCGAGCTCTAGAAGCCGCTTCTAGAGGAACTTTTTAATTAATTTATTTATTTTTTCAGGGTGAATTCACCAGTGTCGAAGGTCAGAGGCAAATTTACCGAGGTTTTTGGTCCCCCAGAGAGAGAAAAGAATGAAGAGGCAAGCTCCTCGCCCCAAACTTGAATATGACCTTGCCTCGGCAACCGCTGTATTTGACCCTCAAAGATGCCACCGCCTTGGCCTCCCCTATGCTCGCGACAAAACGGGGTGCTGGGCGGACTCCCCTAGATACGAGTTTATCAGGGGCGCGGGGTAGGGGCTTACCACGTCCTCAGAGCAAAGCGGCCCGAGTCCTTCGCCGGACGACCCGCAGCCCGGACGCCAGCGAGGGGAACACCCGCGGCCGCGCCCTCATTGGCTCCAGGCGGCCGGAAGTGCGTACGTCCGGCGGAAGTGCTCCCCCAGCGCGCGTCCGCCAGCCCAGGACTAGCAGGTAGGCGGGGCCCCTGGCTCTCAACTCTGAGGACCAGGGGCCTGAGACGGAGAGGGAGCCCCGAAATCCTGAAGAGGTCGTTCGGGTTCTGGTCAGGGAGGGCCGAAAAGTTTCGGGGTGTTGGGTTCACGGCGACCTCTGGTGGCAACCGGGGCCTAGTCGAGCCCGGCCGCCACAGGACCGGCGTGCGGGAGCTTCAAGTTCCCGCGTGGAGACAGGATTTGGGGCCGTGGCCGGGGCTGCTCCCTGACCGCGTCCGGAAGGTTGCGGTCCAAACGCAGCTCTCTTCCAGCCGGAAACGGGAAAGGGGTGCTCTCCGCCCTTACTTCTCTGTGCCTTTCTGGACTTGACAGCTTCCCTCAAGGCGAGTCCGCCCGGGGGTTTTCCTCAGTAACGTCCGCACTAGGAAACATCTCAGAAAGGCTGTCCTCCCCCCCCACCCCACCCCGTCACCACCCCCAACGAGGCCCCCTGGATGTCTTCCTAGAAAGAGGGAGGTGTGTTTCAGTTGCAGGCGGTTCCAGTGGGAGCTATCTGGACTGCTTTAGGCCAAGATTATACCTAGTGAATAAAAACTACTTGCAAATGGTTTTTCTTTCCCCAACCAGCTCCACCCCACGGTGGTTTGTTTGCACGTCGAGCTTCTTGTAGTTCTGATGAGCAGTGTCACTTTCCTCAAGCGTATGACACTGGGACTTCAAGAGCTGGAGGTGTATGCAATTTGAGACCTGTCAGCACTGTGCAGAGTCCAGAGTGATAAGAGACAGGTGAGCCCGGTGGGCGTGGCTCAGTGGCTGAGCGAGAACCTAGGGACCAGGAGGTCACAGTTCGATTCCAGGTCAGGGCACATGCCTGGGTGGCAGCTAGATCCCTAGTAAGGGGTGTGCAGGAGGCAGCCAACCAACGATTCTCTCTCATCATGATGTTTTTTTTCTCTTCCTCTCTGAAATAAATAAAAAAGTTTTTGTTTTGTTTTTTAAAAAAAGAGACAAGTGAGCATGAATGAGTAGTTTCCTCTCCAGATTAGCTTTTGGTAAAAGATGCACCACCTTTATTGAATGCTAGATGGTGCCAGCGAGTTAATCTTTCTGGGGTAAATCTCAATGTAGCGCCAGGTTAAGGCTTTTAAAGTTTCTCTGGAATTTATTTAGAATAGCTTTACCTCCCTAAAATATGTTGTGCCTTTATACACATCATCCAGTTATTGAGTATCGAGGCTAAGCGGAATCAGACTAATTTTCTGCTTTCAGAACTTTTACAGTTGGAGAGAAAGACACAGAAAACACGCTATAATGAACTCATATAATTCAGGGAAGAAAAAAGTCGTAAATAGAGAATAAGATGTGGAATGCAGCCCTGGCCAGTGTGGCTATGTGGTTATAGCATAGGCTGGGTATGGAAGGGTCACAGGTTCAATTCTGGGTCAAGGGCACATACCTGGGTAGCTGGTTCCCTCCATGCCCTGCGGTGGGGGCACCTGCGGGAGGCAACCAGTTGATGTGTCTCACATTGATGTTTCTCTTTCTCTCCCCTCCCTCCCTTCCACTCTCTGAAAAGCAATGGAAAAAATATCCTCAGGTGAGGATTAACAACAACAACAAAAACCAACAGCCACACACACAAAAAAGACTCCTCTTTTCATAATTGATTTGCCAATTATTTATCCAGTATGTTTTGTGTGTGCAGCGTTGTGCTAGATGCTGGTTTATAAAGAGAAAGCAAAATCCCTACTCTCAAATAACTCACAACCTAGTGAGTGGGGGTAACCAAAGAAGGCATTATGGAGGAGGTGGACTTGAGCTAGACCCTTAAGACTGAATGACCTGGGCTTGTCAGCTAGAAAAAAATGCAGGCTCCCAAGAGAAGGATGAAAGTTCATAGCATTTTCTGAAATAGCAAATAGTCCAGCGTGGTTAGACTATAGGAAATTAATCCTGAAAAGACACTTTTGGTTTTATCTCAGGTTTGCCTTGAATTTTACTGGAAAATACAACAGATTTAAAATAAAATTTAAATATGTATTTCCAGGAGAAATTTTACATGACGCATAGCTATCATAAATTACACTTCTGGCTATACTCATTTACATTTACATGTTAATGATTGTAGATTATTTAGTTTTAAGAGATATGGCAGGTAGTAAGAGTAGATTTTCACTGATTAAATTCTACTTTGAATATGATGTAAGGAATTCTCTTCACTGAAGTTCACATATCAAATTGTCTGATAATGATTATGTGTAGGAAAATTTTAAATGTTTTAATATGTTACCCTAGGATTTAGGTTTCAATGAATGGTTTATACCTAATACTAGGCAATATGTGTTTCCCGAAAGGAATGTAAGTTTAATTTTTATAAATAGAAAAACTTAAATGCTATAAATGTTAGATGCATACAATATCAACACCAAAATCAGTAGCTCTTCTCTACATCAGCAATAATCAGGAATTATAATAATGAAAACCCTATTCCCAATATTAACAAAAAATACAAAATATCTAAGAATAGCCAATGTTCAAGGCCTTTGTGAAAAAAATATTTTCTTTTTAAAAATTATAAAAGAAAGCCTAAATAAAATACATATTGCTTGATAGGAAGATTCAAATTTCAAGGATACGAGTTTTCTCCACATTAGTGTCTAACTTAAATGTAAGCCCTGTCAAAATGTCAATTGAATTTATTTATTTATTGTTTATCCTCACCCGATGATATTTTTCCATTGATATTTAGAGAGAGTGGAGGGGGAAAGACAGAGAGAAACATCAATGTGAGAGAGACACATCGATTGGTTGCCTCCCACATGGGGATTGAGCCTGCAACCGAGGTATGTGCCCTTGACTGGAATCGAACCTGGGACCCTTCAATCCGAAAGTTTACACTCTATTCACTGAACCAAGCCAGTTAGGGCTCAATTTAATTTCTAAGAAAACTTGACAGACTGATTTTAAATTCATCTAAATTTCTTCTGGAAATACATATCTAAAAGAGGAAATGCACATGAATAACGAAGAGTTATTGGGGGGAAGAAACCCACAGTAATAAAAGCAACTTCTTATCAGTTATCATTATACATCAGCTCTAAAGCTATAAAAATTAAAATAGTAAAGCAATGCCTTAGGACCAGAATATTATCAATGAAACACTATTGAGCCACGATTGAGTACATTAAAGGTGGCATAAATGAATACTGACTAGTAAATAGTGTTTGGGCAATTGACTATCCATTTGAAAGAAAATAAAAGACCCCTAACTTCACAGCATTAGCAAAAAATGTAGGTGGCTTAAAGAGCTGAATGTTAAAAATACATATATAAAAGTTTTAGAATAAAAAATATATATTTTCAAATCTTGAGATAGTTAGGGCCTGCTTTCATGGGGCACAGACTAAGAAGATTTAAGGAGAAGATAGATTTGACCATTAAAAGTAATTATTGTGATAAAAACATCATAAGTAGAATTTAAAGTCAGGAGACAAGAGATAATATTTGCAACATAAATACAAAGTCTTTGTATCCATCTTATATAAGTCAGTAAGGGAAATACAATCCAGTAGAAAAATGGGCACATTTTCAAAGAAGAAATTCATATCAAAAGTTGTTCATGCCCACACAATATTAGGTAAATACACATACGACCAGCAAGATAATACTAGGAGTGTTCTTTTTTAAAAAAATATATTTTTATTGATTTCAGAAAGTAAGGGAGAGGGGGAAAGATAGAAACATCAATGATGACAGAGAACATTGACTGGCTGCCTCCCGCACACCCCTACTAGGGATCAAGCCTGCAACCTGGGCATGTGCCCTTGACCGGAATCGAACCTGGGACCCCTCAGTCCGCAGTCTGAAGCTCCATCCACTGAGCCAAACCAGCTAGGGCCTAGGAGTGTTCTAAGTCCTGGAACATACTAAGAATGAAAAAGAATATTATAATGAATCTGTATTCACACCTGATCTATTTCTTTATAAATCTGTATCTTCATCTATCAAATCTGTTTAAGGTGAGATAGACCCACTAGTGAAGACTTCTAATTAATTCATCAAGTCAATTAAGAAGATTGCCAGGCCCTGGCCAGTGTGGCTCAGTTGGTTGAGCACCATCCCATGCACCAAAGGGTTGCCAGTTCAATTCCCTGTCAGGGATCAGGGCACATGCTCTGGTTGCTGGCTCCATCCCTGGTAGGGAGCATGCAGGAGGCCACTGATAGATGTTACACTTTTGCATCGATGTTTCTGTCTCTCCCTCTCTTCCTCTCTCTCAAAAAATTAATTTTAAGAAATATTTAAAATGAAAACACTTAGAAAAAAAAGAAAGAAAACTGCCAAGCATTTTTGTGGGGTGAGTTTAAACTTTTATATATAAACTAGAGGCTCAGTGCACAAAAATTTGTGCACTCGGGGGGGGGGGGTCCCCCAGCCCGGCCTGTGCCCTCTCGCAGTCTGGGACCCCTCGTAAGATAACGACCTGCTGGCTTAGGCCTGCTTCCGGGTGGCAGAGGGCACGCCCAATCCCTAGGTGCAGCCCCTGGTCAGGCTCAGAGCAGGGCCAATTGGGGAGTTGGGGCGTCGCCCCGTCATGCTCAGAGCAGGGCGGATCGGGAGGTTGTGATGCCACCCTCAGTCACGCTCAGGGTAGGGCCGATTGGGGGGTTGGGGCACCACCCCCTGTCACACTCAAGGCAGGGTCGATGGGGAGGTTGCGGCGCCACCCCCTGTCATGCACAGAGCAGGGCCGATCAGGGGGTTGGGGCGCTGCCCCCTGTCACTCACAGAGCAGGGCCGATCAGGGGGTTGGGGCGCTGCCCCCTGTCACGCACAGAGCAGGGCCCATCAGGGGTGTTGGGGCTCCGTACCCTGTCACGCACAGAGCAGGGCCGATCAGGGGGTTGAGGAGCTCCCCGCTGTCACTCACAGAGTAGGGCCGA